TAATCCCATAGCTGGATCACACCACTGTGCAAACTCGCGAGAATCCATGGCCTCTTGGTGTGGAAGCTCAGGCCCTTAACTCTGTTACTCTTTGTCTCGAACTTCGTCAGCATTATAAATCACTCTACAAAAACCACATCACAGAGACGAATCAATAAGAAATACGCGAATTCACTCCACACAAAACCAAAAAACGATTCAGATCAGATCTAAACGCTACCGAAGAAGTGAGATTCAAAATCGTGCAATGAACATAGAAGAAATTGAGATCTACCACAGATCAGATCAGATCAGTTTCAGAGATGAAGAAGCTTACCAGATAAAGCGTCAATTCTTCTTCGAGAGGGTTTTAAGATTGAGATGAGATCGCAAAATCAGGAAGAAGAAAGTGTGATTCAGTTTTCGCGAGAGATCTCTCTCGTTAGCTAATTAATTTGAGAAGAAAGAAAACGAAGCTTCAAAAGAACACTTTTTTTGGCTTGCAGATATAACTTCTCTTGGGTTTGTTCATGGCATGGGCTTACACTAATTTGGGCCGAATCAATAATAATCATGATATCAACTTTTTAACTTAGCCCATATTGGCCCATGAGTGAAACACAATTAAGAACCGCAATTTTTGGAAAAAAAAATACATAAAATCACATATAGGATTTGATTTTCTAGGAAGCATGTAAAAATTGGAGATGTAAAATTAGGGGAAAATATATGCAATTGAGTACTAAATGATCATAAACTTGAGTACTAAATTTACGGTATAATGTATTTGACTAAACAAATTTGGCAATGCTAACGATCAAAGATATGATTCTACGTTTGATTAGTCTTTCACAAAATAATATTAAATTTGACACTGCTAACGATCAAAGACATGTTAGGTTTGTTACTACTACACGTCTAAAAGCTTCCACAAAATTAAAGATTTACCCAAAGATTTTTTAACAATAAACGAAAAAGCCGCAATTGTATTACTCAACTTGTAAAATAAACAAATATGTTTTGATGAATTGAGAAAAAAAACCACAAAAAAGGAACATAAATATTGAAAAAGATTAGTTGATTGGATACTTACTTGATCGATGAATCATATTGAATTGAGGAAAAGAAAGATAAAAACAAGAGACATTAAGCGAAACATTTAATTTGTATATATATATTATTTTTTGTGGCCGAACAAACCAATTGATATATGGGTTAGGGATATTTATAGAAGAAAAATGTAGTCGTTTGAATTACAGTTTGAAAGAAAAAATTACCGTTTGAATAAATGGCTTTTTTTTAATGAAATAATGTGAATTTCAAAAGTTGTCAATCCACGGTATATGTGGGTCAATATGTCTCTCTCTCTATATATATATATGTATCAACAGAAAATCATATAATGAAATAGATTCTCTTATTACTACACAAACAGTTTATCTGAGGATATATATGCAAAACACAGTCAATAATTAGGGAGTAATCTCAATTATTACGTTTCTATTCAAAGCAAAGATATTAAGAGGGAGTAAAGGAATTCGAAAATTCTCATAAGTAGTTAATACATAAGAAACAATATAAGGCGAAAAAACTAGATAAAACCGTACAACCAAGAAAAAGTCTCACAAATCACAAACGGCTTAAAATTTTGCACTGAACATGAAAATATTAAAACTATAAGAGATGATAGAAAGAAAGTTCAAAACAGAGAAGTCAAGAGTGTCTCTTACTTACTCTTCACCCACAGGATTTAGAGATCACCGGACTTGCGAAGGAGAGCAGAGCAATCCCGATGCATCTGCGCCAATGACTGCGAGATCACACACTGTGCAGATGTTTCCTTCTTGCCCTGGCACGAACCGGGCCGTGCAGTACGGACATGAGACGTCCTTTTGTCCCCTGTAGATCGGTACATATGTCGCACCGCATGTCACAAACGGGTTCCTGAAATCATAGTTTAGCTTCGTTTCATCGGTCATGTTGCGTTCGGCAGCTTGGATAACTTGTCTCGCAGTCTTGGCCTGGCTCTCCACGGCTGGGTTTGTCTCTATCAACCTTCTAGCGAAGTTAGAAGCAGTGGCTAGGTTCTTCGCCTTGTAGCAGACACTCATCGCACTGAGGAGAGCGAGCCGTAGGTGAGGAGTTTGGAGATTACAGTGAGTGAAATACGCAGCGAGCTCTTGTTGTCGTGTCGGGTCCCCTTTCATTTCCCTTCTCTTCAGTTCCATTTGCAGACCGAGAACATATTCTTTCACGATAATGATCAGCTCTTTCACCTCGTCGACTTCTCTTCTTGACTCAACTACAACAAGAGGGATTGTGTGTAGGATAGAGAGGAAGATACGCAGAGCCTCAGTGAATTTTCCTGTCGTGGTGGCTTTGTAACCGGCCTTGAGCTTCTCTTCAAGCTGAGAGAATTCATAAACCAGAGCTGGTGGGCCACGGACGTTGGGGCTAGCAGATTCGTTCCACCCACGCTCAATGGCAAGTGACACCACAGGAGAAGAAGAAAGTGCACGGAGATAGCTATGGCTTCCGGTAAACAGATCAAGGAACATCGACCTCAACGGAGCAAAGTTCTTTATGCCAAGCTGTCTGTGAAGCAAACGCATTGCAGTGTCAAAGCTACCCGCTGCAGCCTGCTCAGCAGCAAGAGATGACTTCTGGCTCCAGATTTGATTCACAGGCATGCCCAGAGTTGGCATCACGAAAACCGATGAGCGTGTGTTTGCAGAGCTCTTGGGTGTGTCAAGCTCCGGTGGTAACTCTAAGTCCTCAAGTGCCCATCCACCTTCTTCACCGTCCTCATCAGCCACTTCTGCATCGTCCATCATTGCTTCCACGTCACCAATCTGGATTCCACCAACATCAAGTCCCTCGCCCCAATCGCCTTCAACGTCTTCTTCATCATCAACAMCCCCTTTCGCACCGTTCTCAAGTCCTCCTTCAAATATCCCTTTCATAACTCTGAGAAGAGGCCAATCACCTCCACACATAACAGGGGTTGGGGGCATCAGAAGAGACGGAGTTTTACCTTCAGGCAAAGATGGCACGTTGTCTCCCAACTCACTTGCCAATCGCTCAGCAACATCATGTAAACCATGAACCGAAGCCGTGATATAAGCAAGAGGCAAATGACCAGCATTCTCAAGTATCTTAACCCGCTCTTTAACATCTCCCAGATAGAGGGCATTGTGAAACTGACCCATGACATTGTTTTTCACTTCAGCAATCTTCATCAACTTTGACAGCTTCTCCAAATTTCCAGTAATGAGATAGAGAAAAGAAAGCCTCTCAAAGTTCTTTGTCTGCTGGTAAGCAAATTCAACAATTCTAGCATTACCTTGGCGAAGCGCCTCCACTCCAAGTTTGTACCATTGATCTTTCTCATTAATCTCTGTAGCCGATGCAACAGCGACACTGATGTTGCCACTTTCAAGAGCCAAGTTGAATCGAATCCTTTCATCTTCAACGAAATGGAGGGCAACTTCAGGGAATCCTTTCTGCTGCAGGTAAGCGATCATAGCCTGCCCGCACAATTGGGAATTCCTTATCATGCTCATGACATGGTCGTACTTCTTTCTCAGCAGTGAAAGCTTGAAAATGTACTCTGTTGCATCAATGGTAATAATCTTGTTCTTCCCATCTCGATCCAAGCAGAAAATGATATTTGCAGTAACCTTTGTGATGTAGATAGGGACGTCCAGAGTTTTGATTATTCCACTATCGCCATTTGGAAGACAATACTTTACATGGTTAAGAGTTGTGTAGATGAATACACCATTATCATCCCAAGCTCCACTCTTCACGCGGATTGTCTCATGAAGGGTGCATTGGTGGACAAGCTTCTTACTTGCTATAATGATAGTATGTTTGCTGAGCAAAGCAACACTCTCCATATCATTCGACCAAACGACGTARCTAACAAACGGAGTTTGAAGATCACCAAGAACCAGTCTTTGCTGKAGGTCYAAAATAACCACTTTATCCTCAGATCTGCAAAGCAGATTTCCAGTCCCGGCATAAAATATAGCATCAGTAGGTATTGGCAGGGTGCCCTTTTTAACCACCTCGTTCTTGAGATTCTTGACTAGCACTTGATTGGTGCTTRTCTCCAGAACAGCAAACCGATTCCGGGCWATGAAAACTGCAGAACCACCAGTCCCTCTCTTTGCCTCTTGCGKAAAGTCACTCCTGCCAATGCTATCTTTCGGTATGATGTACAACTCGTAAGAACCGCCATCCAGATCTGAGCAGACGAGAACTGCATTTTCTGTCGGACTGTAAGATAAAGTCCTTGGGCTTTGGTTCAAGCTTGCAGTACCAGGACGTCGTATAGGGATAACTTGTGAGTCTCTCTGTGTTGAGAATTCATAGWACCGCAAAAACCTATCCTTGGCATAGAATAGGGAATCGCCACTTAAAGCAAATGCAGGACGTTCTCGCTCAAGCTTGAAGACGATCATACCACTGTCATGTCCAGCTGCCAGTAGATTCATCTCTGGATGAACAGCAAGAATCCAGAATCTATCATGTTCGCGGCGGAAAGTCTGAAGTCCAGTTCGCTTGGTAGCATCCCAGACACGGATGCTTTTATCTTCGGAATTAGAGACAATTATCTCCTGTTTTGCGTGGAACATAACAGATGACACATTATTCATATGGCCACGCAATGTATCYACCTCCCAGGCTTTAGTTTCTGCAATGATATTGAAAAGAAAGGCAATAATTAATATGAGAGTCCAAAGCAATGATAATGA